GTGCCCTGTCTGCAGCGCCCGCCAAGCCTCCCACTCAGCTCTGAGCTGTGCCCTGGTGGCCTAGGCAGGGTGCTGGCCCTGAGACTCTGGCTTTGTAGCTCTGGGCTCTGCCAGCTGGAGTTGGTCCCAAGTGTGGCCTTGGTGACGTGGACCCCAGACAGGGATGGGCCTGGGGCTTCTGCAAGCCTCCTCAGGGCTCAGGGGCAGTGCAGCCACTGATCATGTTTTCTGCTTCCCTGGTGCATTATTTCTCCTTCCTGGCCTCGATTTACTCCCTAGAAAATGTGGGTCAGTTCGACTTCTTACAAGAAGCTCCGATGGTCCCGCCAGGAATTTCCCGATCGCTCGCTAGCACCCAAAGTCTTGTGCCACACACCTGCTGGGCACCTGCCGTGGCCCTGAGCCTCCTGGCCTCACTGAGCCTCGGCTGAGCCCTTCCCTCTCCAACGGCCCTGCCTCTTGGTCTGGGAGAGCCCCCTTGTGTCTGAGAAGCCGCAGGAGTGACCCGCAGCACGTTCAGGTCCCTGAGTGCTTCTGGGGGCTCCAGCTGGCCACTCAGGGCATGGGTTCTTCCCCAGTTGTGGGTTCCTCCTGGTATCCCCAGCTGAGTCCTCCCTGGGTTGAGGATGGCACTGGGGGGCACCGTGCCCCAGGCAGCCCCTCCTGTGCCCACCCCAGAGGCTCTGGATAACATCTCCAGACTGAGCCAGCAGCACCACTGAGCGCAGCCCCGTGTATTTATTACCGGGCGCAGGAATCCAGGAGCCCGCAGAGCGTGAAATTAGGAACAAATGTGGAGGCGGTCTAGACAGGAACTCTGCGGCTGCACTCGGCTCCCGGACACAGGGCCCAGGGGCTTCCAGGTAGCCCAGCACTTCTGTAACCAGACAGATGTTTGTGGAGGAAAAGGTTTTCTGAGTACCGCAAGGCCTCCACCCCCTGACGCCGGCTGGCCAGGGTCCAGACTGGGTGGTGGTATGTCTGGGTCCCCAGCCAACTCTGCTCTGGCCTCAGTTTCCCCATCTGAAAATGAGCATCTTCATTTTCAGTGGTGCTCGCTGGGTTGAGGGGCTGCTTCCTGAGGTCCAGGCTCCCCGATATGGTGACACTGGGTTGGGAGTCTCTGCACTAGAAGAGCCAGTGCCTGGCCAGCACTGGGCAGGCGAGGCCTCTCCTTGGCCCCTGGGGGCGCACAGCAGACAGAGGCCTCCCAGCAGTCTTGCCAGCCAAGACCCAGGAGGCAGGGGGCAGATGGGGAGGGGCACAGAGTGGGCAGACATGGAGGCCCCAAGGGCCAGGGGCAGCAGAAGAGGCAGAGAGAAATAGAAGTGTGGTCCAGGGCTTCTGCCGGGAGAAGGTGTGGGCGACTCCAAGGGATGCAGGTGGGGGGCATCTGGCTCTGCCACCAGGTGCTTCTTGCCTCCTGCCCGGCTGCCCAGCCCCACAGGAGCTGGTGTTGTCCATGGCGAAGCCCAGCCATGGCCAGACCTGCCGTCCCGCAGGGCCCTCTGCAGTTCTGGGGCCAGGTGGGATTGCTCAGCGGAGTCTCCACTCAGCCAGTCAGTGACCAGTCGAAGCTGGGATGGGAAGTAAAGGTGTTTATAAAGCTTTAAACCCGTTTATGGGCCCAGGGGGCAGATGAACAATTCAGCCAGCTTCTCACTGCGATGTCCCAGACGGCAGCACAGACACCGAGCCACTGTGGGGTGGCCTCTGCCCAGCGGTCGCTGGCTGTCTGGCGCTTCTGTGCCTGAGCCGCACCTGCTCCCCAGCCTGGTGGAGACAGCCCTCCCTCAGGGAGGACTCTGCGCCTCCTCCTCCAGGAAGTTCCGGGGGCTCCTCCCCACCCACCCGCCTGGCACCCAAAGCCTGACTTGTTCTCAGAACCCTAGTTGCTGAGTCTGCCAGCTTCCTTCCGTGGCCCCCACAAGCTCTGTCGTTGACCCCTCAACAGCCTGCCTTGCATCTGATCCCCAGGACCCACGCAGGGCCTGAGGAGCGGGAGGAGTCCACAGCACAAACCCTGCCACTCCCCAGTAAGGAAACTGAGGCCCAGAAGGAGGCCTCTGACCAAGGTCACCAGCGGGGGTACAACAGGATTCTCCTCTGCCTGTAGGGCTCAGGGACTGAGCGCAGGACCCTGAGGCTTGGGCTGGGGAGCAGCCTCTGAGGAGGCCTGGGAAGACAGCGGGGTGCAGGGAGAGGGAAGCTGGCCCCGGGTCCATCTCTTTCCTCCAGCAACAGACTGTGGGACATGGTCCCTCCTAGTCCTGGCAGCTTGAAGTCCTGTGGTGTTCAGAAGTTCTGGAAGTCTTCCTGGAGGAGGAGGGCTGTGCTGCCTTCGACGGCAGGAGGGAAGGGCTCCAGAGGGGGGCTCAGCAAGCCCGGATGGGAGGCTGGAGGGTGGGACTGGGGCTGTGTCTCTCTTGGGACTGTTCGGAGCTCACTGTGGCGGACACGGCCTGGCCCGGCGACCTTCAGCCAGTCATGGAGTCGCTGCCCCTGGGCAGGCTGAGACTCTCCAGCTGCCCCTGTATTGGATTAGTGGCTGCTGACAGCCCTGGGCACCCGGCCTGCCCACCACCCTGCCCACCATGCCTTGGGCCAGGCACGGCAAGGGTGCAGATCTGAGAGGGGCCCAGAGAGGGCACGGACCTGCCCTCTTGCAGACCCTCGGTGCCTCCATTACCGAGGGGCCCAGGGGCCTGTGGGGTGGAGATGCCAGCCCTGGCAATTAGTGCCCATGTCATTGACCAGCCTTGGTGGGTCGGGATTTGTTGGGGTCTCTGGGGTGGCCCCACTCAGTTCCCAGCCCCCGGCACCGAGGTCCAGCACCTCTCCACCCCTGTGGTCCCATCCCCTGAGGAGGGCTTTCTGGGGTCCCTCCACCACCCAGGAGAGGCCCCACTCGTGTCCCTGCAAGTCCACAGGGGAGTGGAGGACCATGGGGCCTGGGCCTTGGCTGCCTGAGGCTGTCTAGCTGAGAGGGCACCTGCAGTGACACCTGGGCAGTAGCCCCGTGGATCCCACCAGTCATCTGGAGCCGCCAGGCAGGGTGCCCAGGATGTGTGGGGCCCTGCGGCTCCTTCCCTATCTGCACTCTCGCCAAGATGCTTTGGGCTCGCCCGCCCGCCTACCTGTCTGTCTTTGGAAGCATCAGTGATCTGTCTGTGTCTCCGTCTGACTTCTCCAGGTCCGTCTGGACCATCTGCCCATCTGTCTGTCTGTCTGTCTGTCTGTCTGCGTGGTCCTGCCTTTCCATCTGTCTGCCAGGGTCTGAGTTCCAGGCCCAGCTTCCCTGGACACATGCTGATAGGGGCTCCTTCCCGCCCCTGCCTGGTCCTCTGACCCTCCCAAATCTGGCTGCTGGTCTCTGGGGACACTGCACTACCTCCTGCCACCCCCACACACACCTAGCCTGGGGTTCCGTCTGTCAGTTGTGCGCCCACATTCCAGCACCGGGATGAGTCTGCCGGATTCCAGCAAGCCTTTGGCACAGGTTCCCCAGACACTTGTGAGGCCACAGAGCTCACTGAATGCTGCTGTAAAAGCTGAGGTGGGCCCTGGCACCTGTTCCGTGGGGCCCGAGCCAGCAGGTTACCTGGGCTTTTGCACGTGGCAGCTCCAGCAGCTGTGAGGAGGCCAGGGGGCCTCTGCACCGGCACCCAGTGGTGCATCGGATGTTGCCTGTCCAGCACTGGGCCCGAGGGTGCAGAGGCGGTGAGAAGACTCCAGCTCTTGTCCTCAGGAAAGGCAGTGTGGATTTGCTGTCTCTGGAAAGAAGCTGTGAAACCGCAAACCCGGGATTTAGCGAAATTGTCTAGAGGGGACCCACATGCTGAACACTTCACACTGTGCGGTTTGGGGCCAAGTGCTTTTGATGACTGAGGATCAAAATTAAATTTATTTTTTAATAAAACAGCCCCCTGCCCTCCAAAAGGAACCTGAGTGTAGAGTTGGTCGGGGAGTGTGACTCAGAATGATTTACTGTGCCTTTGACACTCTGCTGAGCACATCCCTAAAGTGATAAGTACAAAAAGAGGAAAGGAATACCAAATACCCCCCGAAGAATTGTCAGGAAACACGGTGGTGAGGGATTACCAAACAAGAAGGAAAAGCACCAATAAGATAATGTTAACAGAAACAAGATTTCACTGCAAAAGTCATCACATTTTAACAATAAGGCCCTAATTTTAAGTGGAAATACTACCGTGAACTCATTTTATTTTTCTTCTTAAAAAATAAAGAACTGCCCCCAGCTGTGGACACTGGAAACACCCAGGACCTGGGGACCAGAGCTATGAGGACCCCCTGCCATCAGGCAAAATCCCGCCAGGGCACAGATCAAAATGACACAGGGGTCACCCCAAACCCACAATCCCGTGGGACCAGCAAGCGTGGAAGAGTAGGGACTGTTGCCAGCATGGTGGTGCATGCTGAAACCCCAGCACTTGGGAGGCTGAGGCAGAAGTGTAAATTCAAGGCCCACCTGGGCAACCTAGTGAGACCCTGTCTCAAAATAATAAAATGAATAAAAGGGCTGAGGTGTACTCAGCAGTGCAGTGCTTGCCCAGCGTATGTGAGGCCCTGGGTTCAATCCCCAGCACCCAAAAAAGTCCCCAGGAGTAAATCCACTTGACAGTACCAGCGTGAACACATTCTGTGCAGACGGTGGTAAACTTTGTGGTATGCACATTTTACCACAGCTGCTTAAAAGCAGAAGGATTGGTTGTGTCAAAGAGTGGAATATAGTCAGAGATTGTATTGCGGAAGGAAAGTTAACGATACAAAAAACTAAAGACTGGTTCAACGAGAAAGCAGGAGTCCAGTGGTGAAGCCCTGTGCTCAGCTTGCCGGAGCTGGGCGAACTTTAAAGTGTGTGCTCGTGGGGACACCGAGGGCCTGCAGGGCCTGGACTCCCCATACCAGCCCCTGCCCAGGAGTGCCAGCCTCCCCTCCCCTGGCGCCGTCTCCTTGTGACACCACGGCATCTGTTGCAGGCTGTCGATGGAGAGGTGGGCGGATGACAGCCGGGACCGTGGTCATCACCGGGGGCATCTTGGCGACCGTGATTCTGCTCTGCATTATTGCTGTTCTCTGCTACTGTCGGCTCCAGGTACCTGGCGGGCAGGGCATGCGGCAGGGGCCTGAGGGGCCGCCCTGCCCAGGGTGGGGTCAGCCGGTCGGTGGAGAGGTGCTGGGCGCCAG